ATGTTGGCAAAGCAGCTTTGTTAAGGGCCCACCTTTATCCTCATGATTTTGAAAGCTGCCCGGCTCCCAATCTCTATGTGGGGAATGACCGATTGAACAGAGGGCAGCAAAAGACTCTGATCATCATCATCATGGGTCTAGGTTTCCGTACTTCCTGCCAAATCTGATCAGCATCTAAATGGCAGGGGATACATTCAGAATGACAGACTTAATGTCACATGGGAATCGACTGCATCAAAAGAAAGCAAGCCTTGAACAGGGCCAGCTCATGCTTTACACTTCCCCATTTTTATCTCCTTTCACCTCTTTCTCTTCCTCCTCGTCCTCCGCACACTTATCCACCCCCCCACGCTCCCACAGCCCCCACAAACCTATACCCATCTCCCACAATATACAAGATTAAGACTTCATTTTAAACTTTTGTGCAATCACCTCTATGTACACTACACAAGCACATGTAAATCAGGACAAAAATATTTTTTAAATCAAATGAATGAATGTTGCCTATGTTCAATTTTTACAATATAATTTGGTATTTTTCTGGTTCTGAGATGGCAAAACCCCTTGCTGAAAGGAGTACTCCCAGGGGCAAGGGGAGGGACTTCTGGTGGCAAATGTCAGGGGTTAGGGGGCAGGATATCTGGTCCCAAGATGGTGACCGGGGTGGGGCACCTGTCAGGGGGTGGGACTACCCATGTGGCCCTTGACACTTACCAAAACTCGGTAAGTGGCCCTCCGCCCAAAGTAATTGCCCACCCCTGCCATAATCGTTCTCTAACAGGGTTTTTTTTTTGCAGTGCTGAAAAGAATATAAGATCATTCTTCTCTGGTTTCCCAGAGGAAGGGAGGCAGGAAAAAAGAATTCTGCTGCCAAAAAAAACCCCTTTTAGTCCTTAAAGTTCATGCCTTTAGAGGGTAAAATAGATCACAAAGACAAAAAATGTTAGTATGTATTCCCTGTTGCCTGACTCAGTGGACTTATTGTTTTGGGAACTCTAGGAACTGAACTTCAGGAGATACAGAGAATGATTGATAACCTTCAGAACCCCCTGGATCCCCACAAGGTTGCCCAGCTGGTAATCCTTCATAGAGAAGTTATGTTTCTACAGTTTGATGCAATAGTCAGGCATCTATTACGGTAAGAATCAAAGGTGCTAATGCCATCAGATCTTGCCTGCTAGTCTGTTTTATGAAGTGCTGACCATGAATTAGTGCAGTGAAAGGGGAAGGAACACAAATAGGAAAGAATTTAAAGTAGTCCTCTATAAAGGATGTTCTAAAAAACCCCATTTTCTTTAGGAAGTATGTCCTACATCAGCAGCTCTCAATCTTTTCAAGTCAGGGACCAGAACAATCTGGTTTTGGTTTGACATGGACTGGGTGGCTTCTATTAGTGCATCAGCAGTGAGGGGACTCTGTCTCTGCCCATGTTGGGGCCAGGTAGCTGAGAACTCTGTCCTCTTTGCTGCCACTTCCCCAAGCCCCTTGCTCCTCAGGTGGGGCAGGAGAGTAGCTCCCAGCTGGTGTAGAACTGCACAGGGCCCAGGCAGCTGGAAGATGAGTTGATGTTGTGCTGCAGCTGGAAGGTGAATGGGGGAGGGGACATAAAGGGGGATAGGGAGGGAGAAGCGACACCAGCATGGATAAAGCTTCCAGTTGCCTGGCCCTGGCACAGCCCTCACTGACTGGAAGCCACACCCGTGCCACAGCCAGGAGAGGTTAGGGGGTGGGGGAAGGAAGCAGCAGTAGCAGGAGCTCAGCTGAAAGTTACCTGGCCCTGATACAACTCCATTTTTCTTAGCCTCAGTCTCAGAGAGTGCCTAAAAGACCATCTAAGGGATGCTCATATTAGTCTTTTAAATGTGTATTGCAGTGTTGTTGCCACTGTCATAAAAACTAAATGGAATTGCAAAATAAGAGCAAATTATTTCATTTAACCAGCTATTTCCCTCTGCAGACTGGGATCTTAATGGTGAAAGATGTATATTACAAGCACTGTGCAACCACACAGAGGGAGTCTTGTGCAGAGACTTGAAACAGAGCCTCCTACCTTCTTTTTTACATGTCATTCAGTTGTGTCCTCAGAATGTTATGGGCAGATGAGGCACTGCAGCATATGTATTGTGGACTGAACTAGGTAGAGTTTTCTGCTGACCTGCAAAAAACCAGAAATAGAAAAAAAAGGGTTAACAGACTTTGCTGTTTTTTTACTGATTAGGGCATTATGGGGGCAGTTGGTTATGAAAACATTTCCTTCTGATAAAGGTGCATATGTTGACAGAAAATAATATGACGTGTTACATCTGTATTGCACACTCTATTGTGTGTGTATAATTAATTTTGATTCATTTTCTCCACTCTGGGATTATAGTGTAATCCCAGCAGCAGTGCAGGCTATTTTCTTAAGAACTCTTTGGTGTGTTCCAGCTGTGAATATTGTGAGAGGTCCCTAAAACTTTTTAAAAACCCATTTTTGAAAAAAATGCCCATTTCTACAGCCACATACCAACACATAAGGTCCCTGCCCTAAACAGTCTGCAGAGAGAGGGGGAGTTAAGGGAGCTCATCGCTTTTTAGGAAATAGGTTGGTGTTACTCCTTAACTTTTAAATGTGTGACTGAAGTGGAATGAAAAGTAGCTGTACAAGAGAAACTCAAATGAAATTAGAAAGCTGTTTTCTATCTAGACTATTGTTTACTTTATATAGTATATTGGTCTATAAATGCATATAGAGTGTACTACAAATTAGCTTTGTGTCTTTAAGGGCATGTGCATGTAGCAGCACTGAGCAGTAGAGGGGTATGAAGTGAGCCTGTTTGATTTGGATTCGGCCTGAATCGGGGACAGTGATTCGATTTGCTGATTTGGCTTAATCTGAATCTGATCTGAAGATTCGATGCTGATTCAGAGAATCAGCAATTCGGACATAGACACAGCTTTAAATGTTATTTCTACGTACTTGGAGGTACCAGCGCAGCTTGTGAATGCTGCGATGCTGGGGCACATGGAGAGTCCCACAGGAGTGTGCGGGGCCCTCCACATGCTCAGCAGTGAACCCAGAAGTGAACTGAAAGTACTTCTGGCCCAGTTCCAGGTCTGCCAGGGAGCACGTGGGTCCCCTCCCTCCCGTGCCCCTCCGGCTCAGTGATTGGCCACAGGGGGACCCTGCATGCCCCCCTAGCCCCAGAAGGCACCAGTCACCAAGCCGGTGGGGTGTGGGGCTCCTGTGGGATGCTCCATGTGCCCCAGCATCACAGCAATTACAAGCTGCTTGCTACCTAGAGGTAGGTAGAAAAAACATTTAAAGCTGTGTCTATGTCCGAATTGCCAAATCTTTCCCAATCTCTCCGATTCGAGTCGGAGAGATTAGAAGGTCCTCTGATTTGATTCGAATTTGGAGATTCAGCCACTGAATTGGGCCAAATTTCTGCCAAATCGAATTAGGGACTGAAGCTTCGCACAGCCCTGTTGAGCAGAGGTATCCCAACCAACTCTGAACAAGCAGTAGAACAGTATTAATATGGCATTCCACTAGTGGTAATAAGAAGTTCTTCTCAGGAAGACTCAGCTGTCTCTACAAGGCATTGTATTATGTCATGTAGACATACCCCAAGTCTTTATGGAAGATGAAATAGATTTGGGGGCTCTTTGCTTGTAGTTTCCAAAGTTTACTGTGTTGCTTTCATTACGTTAGTGGAATGCTGCAGCTGCTAAGTACCTCTGCAAATCAGCTTGGGGGTTCTTCATTTGAGGTACCAACATTTGGAAGCCACCTTTGAAAATGTGGCCTAAGGTGACTTGCACAAGGTCATACATAAACTTCCTATAAAAACCAAAAATAGAAACTAACTCTCCTGACTCATAGTCCTGCCTGTGACTTCTAAGACCTTCCTTATGCTCCAACCCAAAGAGCACACCTTGCATTAGTGGCCCCAGATGCTGATAAGGTGTGCTACCTGTTTGTTAATATTAACCAGCTGGTGGATATTCATGTAGGATATGTTTGTATTTCTGAACAGAAGGGGATTTTGGTTTGTTTTTCTGCAAGCACAAGTGGTCTGTTAGTGCATTCACACCAACCAGTGCTCAGGTGAAATTTGGCCTTTCCCTTGAGCACAAAACTGCAGTCAGTTGTGAGGCACAGCACACAGATTGTGCATTCATTCCAGCTTATTAATATTAACATCTAATTCTATCCCAGAATGCTCCAGGAGAGATTTTTACAAAGTTGGGATTTAGCTTGGTTTTAAAAAGGGAATTCTGATGTCTCTTCAGAGAAGCATTTTTGTCATCTGGGAATATTTCGGCCTACCAGAACATTACAGACAGCATGTACCACGGGCTGCCTCCTTTGAGTAACTCTGTGGTGAGGAGTGCATTTGCTTCGCAGTTTGGGCTCCCACAGCCACTGGACCCACATAGTCCCAGCGTGAGTAAAGTGCGCTTTGAAAGAATTATTGACTTCTTTACTGTTTGGGTGCTAAGGAAGAAATCTTGTTGTGATACTATATTTTGTGGTGGCAGAGAATCCTAGAGAGGTAGGGCTGGAAGGGACTTCCAAAGGTCATCTAGTTCAACCCCCTGCCTGAAGCAGGATCATCCCTATCCAAACCATCCCATACAAACCATAATCTAAACCCTACATAAGCCTACTGTCAACCCTGACATAACACAGTCCTACTACCATAACCCTAACAGGTAAAGCAGGAGAACTACAGCAGCCAACATCCTGCTTTTATGAAATGTTATTAGTTTATACACAAGAGATGCCAAGAAGAACTTAGAAGTTTGTAACTTCAAATCTCCAGTCATTGTGGGCCTTTGTACATGCCACAAAATTGGCCTTTAAAGTGGCTTAAAGTCCTTTCACGCTGCTTTAATGGTGTTGCTGTTTGCACGCTCAGCAGCATATTCTGCTTTAAATGACTTTGGTACGTAGCAAGATAAAGCACCTCTGAGGTGTTTTAGTCTGCTACCTAACAAAGTGCAACAGTGCATGGGGCACTGGAAGCTGACGTGCTCAGGGCTTGGCAGGCCCCGGGCAGCTCAGGGACTGTGGGACCCAGCAGCAGTCGGTGCAGGCAGGCTTCACTAGAAGACAAAAAAAAAAGCAGAGAGCCTGACATTTTTCTTTTTTTTGTTTTTCTCCCTGGAGCCTGCCTGCCTGCCTGGCTGAGCTATGTGGGGGCCCGGTGCTTCCCTCTGTGGCTGCAGGAGGCCAGGGCTTCTCTCTGTGGCTGCGGCACTCAGGCTGGGTGCCAGTGGGGGCACCCATGCAGCTCAGGGACTGCTTGGCCTGCTGGCAACTCACCCCCCTGCCTCTTACTTCTCCCCCTGTGCAAAGAGGCAGGTAAGGATCGGGCTCCCACCCTTGTGTACACGCCACGGGGGTTTAGTTTGGTTTAATTCTCCCTAAATTGAAGCCTTGTTTTTAAAAACCCACCATTTCAATTTAGGGAGAACTAAACCAAATTAAACCCCCGTGGTGTGTACAAGCAGCCTGTGACTACAGTCAATTGTGCTTTGTGACTTGGGGACCCAGAAAATCGTCTAATCGGCACAGATTCTTTAACAGTAGCCATTTCTCTGTATTGTCATATCTCTGGCTGCCAAAGTAGAGGACTGTTCTGTATGATAGATATTGGGCCATTTTGACTATTTGAATTGTAGTGACAGAGCTTCTTTTCTGTCATGAGTTGTCTTTTCTTTCCTCTCTGTTCTTTCCTTTCAGTCATGAGTTGTTGAATGCATTGTATACCCAAGGCCTTTCATCACTTGTTGACTGCCCCTGTTGTTTGACCTGATTGATCTTTGTTTGTTGCTGATTGTTATTTGTTTCAGAGTGCCCCTGCTGATTGTCTGCTCACTTCAAAATTCCTCCTTTTGCTAACACTGGCATAGGTCTGCCAGGATCGCTATGATGAGAGCACTAGTGTGTGGGTCATAGCAGTGGTCACAGCATCTTAACCACAGTGTCACATAGACTTGCTCTGAGTCAGGTTACACAGTATGCTGCCAACTTATTCATACTAACACTCTCAGTGGGATGACAAATTTTGTAAAATGTAAAAGAAAAAAAAAAGTTAGGCCTAGGCACTGGTATAAGGCCCACTGAAGTTTAGTTTTTTTCACTTGAATTCAGCTGAATTCTTAGGCTCCCAGACACAAAGGTTAATAAATGTCTCTAGATCTTAGGTCTTAATTTTCCTCTGCTCATTCAGTTACACCCCGCTGGATGACCCTAAACTATTGCTTTCACACGTGTTGCTTCCCAGTACTTAGAAAATTGCAATTTTCTGCAATCACTAACTCCCTCAAGTAAATTTGCTCTCCTTCAGAATCGATGTAGTAGTAGGGCATCTCCTCTGTGTTTAGATGTGTAAACCGGGTGGTACTCCAAGAAGTACCCCCTCTCCAATTGAAGGGATCAAAGCAGGTGCACAAGTGCTGTGGGAGGTGTAGGGACTCTCCTCCCCTACAGAGCAGAGCCAGACCACCAATGGGGACTTAACCATATACCTTTTAATGAGAGAACAGTACTGGGAACATAACCAGTATAAACCAGGAGGTATAGGGGACACTACAATGCCCTGAGGGGGCAGGATCCAACAAAGGTTAGACACTTACAATCATAGACATATTCATCCAGTAGACAAAAGACAGGGTTAACAAAATATAACACACACACAGCAGACCAAACAATGCTGGCTGGTGAAATGTAAAAGGCACAAAATACAAAGTGTCAAAGGAATATAGTGGTCCCTCGCTGGTCTCCCCTGATTCAGCTGCGCTGCCCCTTTTATCCCCCTCCAGGTGACCCAAGGGGCCAATCAGGGGATATGGAGGGTGAGTCTCTGGGGCCTGATTGGTGAGGAAAAGGATTCCTAAGTCCTCCAATCATCTTCTACCCCTTCAAAACCCCTGGGCTAAGTCACTGCCAGCTAGCCTGTCACAGATGTGTTGGTGGTTATGTTAGTTTCTCCTCCCTTGTGGCAATACTGTACTGAAACACTGTCCATCTTCTGTGGGGGTATGCTCCTCTCCCTTCCCAGTATTCTTAGCACATGTGTACTGTGGAAAGTAAGATTTCGCTTTCCTACATAAGCACAGCGTCATTTGGGTATGATACCTGAACACTTTAATCCAATGTATTTCATGCCCCCAGAATAACAGGTGAGAGGGGAGGGAGACCTTTTAACACAAGCTCTCAACTTTCTTCCTGTCCTTAGCTTAAATGAGATCCCTTTAGATTTGTTTAACATTATCTTTCTACTGATGAATATATTTAGGCATTGATGCTGTTTCCTTGGAGGGCATTACTAGCGGATGGAGGACCATTTCCAGTCACTATCAGCAACCTAATTCCCATAAATTATTACATGCAGGTATGGTGAGTGTTACAGGTTGTATATCTGAAAGTTACGCCAGTGGTATTGTGATAAGATAGAAATAACACACTGCATTAAAACAGAGCTGCACTTGAATAACAGCTATATTTTCTGAAAAATAAACCCAGAAACTGAAATTATTTTACCATTCAGATCTGATTTGAATTTTGTTTTGCTTAGATAATTAAATTAGACTCATTTCTATATATTTTTTGGCTGTCAGGCATCTCCCACAATGTCTTTTCATGAGTTTTAGGTCCACTATGCCACAAGCTTCTAGTGGAAGTCATTTGGTTTTATATAGTGCACAATCTTAGTTGTACTAGCAGTAACTTTGTTCTGTAGTTGCTTACTGAGATCTGTCCAGATAATCTAGGAAATTGCAAAAGGTGTCTGTCTCTCTCTCTAGCTGTGCCTGTGCAGACTAAGCGATGATGATCGAAAAATTGCTCATGGGGAGCTGGTTGGGATTCATTTTCTAATGGAGGATATACTGGAGACCAGCTGTGATGTTATTATGGAAGATGATGCTGAACAACAAACTTTAGCCAAGAAAAAACAGGTACCTCTGGCCAATTTGTTCATTCAGAGCTATATAGATTTCATGCAAAACTCCCTTTGACTTCCACTCCTGGGACTTGTTGAATGTAATTTATGGTCTTTGGCCCCATGTAATTTATGCTGGAATAAACTAGTTCATTCCTGACTCCATGATAAACTGAAAGCAAACTTATTTCAAAGGAACTTTTGAATGCTCCTGAGCAGAAAGCCACAATAACTGACTCCCTCACAAGGGCTACTGCTAACCACCAGCTGTTGCTACTTGCTATTTCTAGAAACAAGGATGGGGAGGGAGGACAGAGTGTCACTTGACTTCCTCCAACTGTGCCACAGCAGACTAGAAGGGAAACACCTTGGTGTACTTTTAACAAGAGCTTCTCAGTGGAGGGAGGAAAGGAATGGCTTGACCATCCTCAAACAACAAGAGCTGTATGATTAAGATCGTGCTTCCAAAAACATTTGTACTGTGGTATCAATGTGGTGAAGGGTCACGGGTACAGTTAGGTCTTTCCAGAATCTACACAAAGGTTTGGTTCAGGGGATGCACAGTGGTTCAAGCCATTTCTCACAGGAAGTAGATAAACCTACCAATTTGTCAGCATGTAAATGAGTAGTGATAGCATCCCTGGAGGCTGTTGGGAGGTGCAGGTGTCAAGAAATGAGCCAAGAACACAACATTTATTTATTTTGGGGTGTTTTTCCTTCAGGAACTGAGCTGAGAGTTTGACTTCTATAAAGGCACTTTTGTCAGAGGTTCACAGGGAACTTTATTGAGGTGAAAGACTCAAGGAGGGATTTACCTTCTAGGTAACTTATTTCAGGCTACTCTGTTGTATATCAGTATTCATGGGATTGCAGGACATTTCTGTACTGTGTTCTTTTCACTCAGTCTCTAACAAATATTTAGTGGCTTGTCTTTTTCTATTAAATGAATTCAATGCCTAATTGTAACAAAATGTTTTCCCATAATAATTTATGCAGAATTTGGCAGAAACAGTTGAATCAAATGCCAGCCTATCAAAGAGTAGTGGAAAGACGTCCAGAGCTCTGTGGAGGCAACATGATCCGCTTACTTCCTGCACTTTGATGAAATCTTTTTTGATAATATGGAAGCAGTTGTCAGTACTGAAGGCAGAATGGGGCAGACTTAAACTGAAAGTTGAGGATATCAATACGGTTCCTCTTTACAGAT